ATAATCAGAACAAAGAAACAAGAGGCAAAGTTGTAGAGAAGTTTACTGACAGAAAAGAAGAACAAAGCCTAGAAAAAAAGAGTTGACATTGAGACAAGAAAAGAAAAAGAGAGGAGAAACTCTACCTTAAAAAAACAGATAAATAAACAAGAAGGAAGTATGTGGGGATGTTTTGGAGAATCCCAAATTCCACAAAAACCCCACAGAATTAAAATGCTGGCATGCTCATATGACACAAGAAAACTGATGTGGAATTGCTGGAATGCCATTAAATATTTTTATGGTTTTATTGGTGCACTTTTGATTAAATAACCTTCAGAATGAAAATGTGTAGGGATTATGTAACGAAGCAGATGAGCCCACAGTATTTTCACCAACACAAGGAATCCCAGGGAGCTTTTGCATTACAAAAGCTTCTTGTATAATTTGAAACACAACTGGACATAATTAGTAGAATAGAACAAATGAGCACTGAAAGAAAATACCATCCTCATACTTTTAATACGGAATCGATTACTTTAAAAAGCAAATCCACAGCAGGCAAAGCACTGGAGAGATGGTTTGAAAGAAAATTCTGCAAATTAAAACCAGGGCACAGAAAGTTCTGGGTTGAACTAACAAACGATGCTCTTCTCATAAACACGGGCTATAAAAGGCATTTAAGCTGATTTAACAATATCAGCCGGTTAATACTGTATTCATTTAATGCATGGCTTTAGGATCCTGTAAAATCGTTTTTCAAATTTTAGCATCTGACAAAACAGAATTAGCACCCTCATTTCTATGATAATATTGTTCATTTAATGCATGGCTTGGAGTTCGACTTCAAAGTGAATCAGAAAAAGATGCCTTTTCTCTTGTCGGAAACATCTCTTCATGCACCAGTGGCTGGACCTTACATTTTAGCTTGGAATGCACAAAATCACTCTCACATTTCAACTGTCCTTTTATAATTCAATCATTTAGTTCATCAGTCTTAGGTAGATTCTGTAATACCCAGCCCATGAAAGCTAAAACCATTTTTAATGTCATCTTTTCATGTGTATTCTCTGGAAAGACCTGGATTGAAAGCTTCTCCAGATAATACAGATAATACAGAAGATGCACTTAGCAATGAACTTAATGCAAACATGCAAAGATGCCCGGAATGGCCAAGGAAAGCCGCTTCCACCCTTTCAACCTTACTCCTCCTATCCTCAGGATTGGCACTGAAAATCAAAGCGTGATAATGAATTAGGTTTGTACAAACAAATGCCCACAATGCACAAGGGCTTCCATCACTGAAAATAAAGACTGTTTTCTCTCTAAAACACTGATATTCCTCCTCAAACATCTACCCGGCAAGCAAGAGAAAGCTGACAGTGCAATGAAGGGTGAGATGATAACGTCCTCTCCCGTAAATGAAACCCAGCCCGCAGAACAAGGAATTCAGACAGATTGGCAGGGAGTTCTCGAATTCTCGATGGAGCTTCAAACATTCACCCCCTTGCACTTACAAGAGCCCGCGGTGGGGGGGGGGGGACGACTCTAGACAGAGGTAAGTGACTATTCTAGACAGACGGAAGAAAAGCTTGCACCATATTACTGTAGCAATCGTGCTACTATGGAAACAGGAGAAGGTGATGGAGAAATCACAACAAAAAAACCACCACCACAATTTGGCAAGGCCAAATTGGTAAAATACACTTCGGTTGGGAGAGACAGTTCAAGAGAATGAAAATAAAGATTTGTCAATTACCAATTGAATATTAAAAACCCTCAAAATGTTGGTGTTACCAACTGAATGTTTGTGTTCCCCTTAAATTCCTATGTTGAAGCCTGATGTGGTGGCATTTGGAGATGGGGCCTTTGGGAAGTAATTAGGGTAAGATGAGGTCATGGGGGTGGTCCCTCATGAGGGGAACATGCTCTTATAAGAAGAGACATGAGAGCTCGCTCTCTCTCCCCACATCCCCCCCAGCACACACACACACACACACACACACACACACACACACACACTTCTTCCCTGAGCACATACAGAGAAAAAGCCATGTGAGTACACAGGGAGAAGGTGGCAGTCTACAAACTAGAAAGGGAATCCTCACCAGAAACCAAACCCTGCCGGACCTTGATCTTGGACTTTCTAGCCTTTCGAACTGTGAGTAAATAAATTTCTGTTGTTTAAGCCACTCAGTCATATTTTGTTATGGAATATGGAGCTAACTAATACAGTTTCTAAGTGTGTAAACATTACATCCTACTTAGTGTATTCCAGTAATACTAACTATGGGCATGTCCTTTGGTATAGCAATTCCACATCTAGATTTTACTAAGTAGAAGCACAACCAACCCTGCAAAAATACATGCAGGAGTCCATTCACTGTAGAAAAGAGATCAGTAAACAGCATATGCCCAGCAAAGGGGATGGATTAAAAAGTTAATGTCAATTACAGGTGACAGAATGCCCTGCTTTGCAAATGCACGTGATTACAATATGAGTTATAAAGGCAAGTTGCTGAATATTCTATAAAATGTGATTTTATTTTTGTAGAAAAGTTATGTATGTATGTTCATTTATGCAGAAAAATTTGAAAGAATATGTGCCAAATGAAAAGGGAAAGGGAACATTTCTGAATTGTTTAAAAATTTACATATATTGTCTATATTAAAATAAATGAAAAGTTATTGTTAAGTAGTGATTCATTTTGTGATCTCAGGCTTTTGATATAAATCCACTAACATATTTGGTCCATTCCTTTATCCTTTAGGGAAGCAGAGTTCATGATTTTACTGTAGAGATTTCATGTAAAAATGTTCCGAGTATCTTTCTAGTTACTGAAATAATTATGTATATAGTCCTAATGCTGATTATTTATGTTGAAAGCTAACAAAGAGATGTGTAGAGGGGATTAATGGGATTTCTAATAGGTTTCTTTACATAACGGGACAATTTGGGGTAAAAAATAACTTTTTTTCTTAAGTGATCTATAATAACTGGCATGTCTACTTTTAATTATCTTAATCACCCTCTTTTCATTATTGAGTTGACACTGTGTGTGTATCTTAATGAATTTACAGAGATTATTTCAATCGATTGGTTTTGTTAACAGAACAATAAATTCTGACTGATAAGAATTCAGGATGTAATTAGTTAGCTCTTCTTATTATGCAAATTTCTGATACTTCTGTAATGAGTAATTAAAGATTAATAAGAAAGATAGTCCCGAATTAGCTGCTTCTTATCTGTAAATGCTTCAGGATGTGTGGGGATCAGGCTTCATTTGCATATTCTCAATGACTGGTAGTTAGACAACTTCTATCTGAAAGTCTCCTGGGGGGAAAACCCTGCCCCTGGCCATCGAGTTTCACAGGAAGGTGGCTGAACCCTCAACTCCATCCTCTTCACTTCTGCTCAGGAAGTGGGAGGTCAAGCCAGACTGTTTCTGAGTCCTCACTGTGCCCCTTTCTCTGGGTAGTGATCTTAAGGCAGTCATTTCTACCTCTTGGTGCCTTTGTCTCCATGCCACTTAGCACAGAGCTGGGAGAGGATCCAATGAGGGAATCCACATAAGACACTTAGCAGGGGCTTGCACACAGTGGGCCCTCTGTGGAAAGCAGCTGCTGGTATTATTCATTCCATAAATATTTAAACTCCTACTATTTGCCAGGCACTGCTCTAGGCACCAATGACAGTTTAATGAATGAACAAGACTAACCCTTACTTTCATGGAAGCTATGATTTTCTTTCTTTTCCTTTTCTTCTTCGGGGCTTTGTAAAATCTGAAGCTCTAAATCATGAGGCCCTGTGGTTGTGTGTTTTGCTCAGAGTCCCATCACAAGCACACACAGGCAGGAGGACACTCAGTCAAGCCCTCTGCCTAGCGAATAAAAGAGGGTGTCATGCAGGAGGCTACCAGAAGTAGGGCCCCTTGATGACACATTCTGCTCAGGGGCTCGGGGGAGCCCAGCAGACAAGAGCAACAGCATTCTCACAGCATGATACACCGCTCTTCAAATAGCACCCTCCCACTGACCGTGGCCTCCTGTGCACTGGCCCAGGGAATCCGGGAGCACCCGGATTCAAAACTAAGTCCCAACTCCAAAGCCCAAGCTCCGTCCCCCTCACCATGCTGCCTCCCTGCCTGCTACACGCCCTCCACGTCCCAGATAGAGGTGATGAGGCCCAGCCCAGGTGGCCCACCCAGGAGCACCTGGTTAAGCTCTCCAGGAGAAGGACCAGGCTCACTGCGGCTACACTCTTTGGGAAAAGAGTGACAGGGACATAAAGGACCTGAGGAGAATCACACCAGAGAACTGGGGAGGAGATGGAGATGAGCAGCTGAATCGGCTCTTGCCAGAGAGGACGGCACTGCCAGGCGTGGCTCCTGCATCTCCCACTTCCCAGTGCTGTGGCCTCAGCCCACTGACTGACACTCTCTCAATCCAAGCAGCTTTGTCTGAGAAAATGCCCAAACCACCCGGACCACCTAGAGTTGCTGTGAGTGACAAAGAGAATGCAAATATGAAGAGGAAAGTAAATGGCACACAGTAGGCACTTAAGTGCCACTTTGGTTTCTGAAGATGAGATAAAGTGTTCTGTGAGTGAGTCTACGACTGCTCTTCACTTTTTCCTCATTTTATCATCACGACTGTTATCACTATCACTGTCATCAGATCAATCCTGCTGGAAGTTAATCCCCACAGGAGAAGATCTAGCAGTTTAAGGAAAACCTTGCCACGCCTAATTCTGCAGAGGCTGGCAACCCAGGAAAACCAACCTCGTGCTACCCTTCCAGCAGCAGCTGTCTGCGTGGTTAGGAGAGCAACCGCGCTCACCAGCACCCCAGTCTCCCCGAGCCCCTCCAACCTCACCACTCACTGAGCTCACAGGGGACTAACCGATCCTCATCCTGGGCATCTAACGCTCTACATACAAAAGCAATAAGACTGTGAACCATTGCTACTAAAAGATCAAAGGAACCCGAAGTGCACAGAAAGCACAAGGCAGCCGCACTCACAGCGATGATGTTGAAGAAGTCATCGTCCCCCAGCGTGTCCAGAATAGACGAGACCGTTTGCTTGGCGATGGTCAGGCGGAGACCCTTCATGCTGCCGCTGACGTCAACTAAGATGACCACGTCCTTCGGAGAAGTCGCTGCCTGGATGTACCTAGGTCAGGGGAACACACAGGGAAACGGAATCTTGACCCTCTCTGCAAGTTTGCCTTTTAAAAACTAACTGAGAGGTTTGTCCATTTCCTACCATTTTCGGTTCCTGCAGTCAAAGGCAATGACTCCATTCTCATCTGGTTCCCATTTAATCCCTAGAAGAAAAATGGAGTTATAAGAAACCCAGAAACTTCAAATATTTATTCATAGCACTTCAAGGCTGCTCTGCTTTGCTGACTGAGTGGACAGGGTGAAAAATCACATGTGAAGACCAACCCTGGAGCTCATCACGTGCTCTGTCGCCCACTCTGGGAGGTGCTGCGGGGCTGCCACAGGACAGCAATTAGCCTGAGTGCACTCCTGCCAAGGCCCGCTGGCGGTGGCACTGCCTTGAGTAAAGCGCTGTCCATTGAGGAAGGACGGGCTGCAGCCCCTTCTGGGTAAAGATAAAGTTAGCCAAGGTCGTTTCTCACTGTCCCTCAAATTGCTGGACCTGGGGCATGATTCACAGGTCTCTGGGCAAGGTGGGCGCATCCCTGGACCTGGGTCAGTTATGCCTACAGTATGGGAGGTAGCAAGCATTTGATATGTTTCTATCGCAGAATATACACAGGTCTGTTCTTTCCTGACTCGTTTTTAAAATCAGGAATTTTGGCCTGGCTTTAAAATAAAATAAAACAAAATAGCCCTAATTGTGCTGTACAATGAAGTGTGAGTTTCAAGCTTGGAGGCCTGGAGAGCTTTTCTTAGATGTAAATGGATTCCAACACCTTTAGCTTCATGGTTTGCAGACAGTTGACATTCTCTGTTTACAACTTGGTTTTTAAGAATAAAACTTTTAAAAAAAGTTTTTGCTGCCTAAAAATAAGATAGAAAATCATTGTTTTCAACTCTCAGTGGTGCTCAGAGATAGAGGATTTGAAACACAGACTTTGGAGTTCAGAACACTAGAAAAATTATTTTCTATGAGGAAATCGTGACTGAGATTGTAGCCTTGAGAGTCTCCTTTCCAATTAATAATGGCCAGCCTTCCGGACCACACGGGGCTCACAGGCATGTGCTCAAGATAACGCCCCCGAGTTATTACACAGATAACTCTGAGATGGCAGTTTGTAATCCAATGAGTCATTTTGTTCTTGTCTTCCTTGTACCTACATTTCCCATCTGCAAATGTGCCTCATTTAATGAGTTCCCTGTAACAAATCAGAAAAAAGTATGAGAAGCCACTGCCAATGGAAGGCCATTAGGTAATGAAGATAAAATAAAGCTGACATGCTATTGTACACTAAAGGACAAGAATGCAATTTGTTTTAAAAACATCTGACACACTGCTTTGTACAAAGCCAAGTGTAGCCAGATTCATACAGTCTTGACACATTTGCAATTATATCCTTGGTGAGGCTAGGTAATGTTCCACACAGAATTGCTTTGAGTCCAATATAAAGAGAATTTATCTTTTAATGTGTTGACTCATGGTAGGCGGTCCGTGGGCGTTTCTGGAGTTGAACTGTGTGTAGTGTTCTTCAATGGCGAGCATGGCTGCCATCCACCCTCCCCATCGCTGTGCTCTACCAGAATGAGAACCTGGTCAGTTCGCTCCTCCTGCCCAGCATTTAGGCCTGGGCCTGGGGGACAGGAATTGATGCCACCGCATGCTCTCCTTTGGACTGAGTTCATTTCTCTGCAAGTGGGATTGTCACTCCTCCCAGTCACTCTGACAAGTGAAGGACAGACAGCAGAGACTAAGAAAGGGGGGCCCAGCCCCTCCTGCCCTCAGGAAGCCTCACATCTAGCAGAAAAGCAGACACTAGGTATGAAATCACAAGAACCAGAGATGTCCGGAAGGACAGTACCTGAGGCTATGCTAGTGTATAAAGGTGGCTCTAAAAGGAAGAAGGACCTGAGGCTGTGTTAGTGAATAATGGCGGCTCTATACCTGAGGCTATGTTAGTGTATAAAGGTTGGCTCTAATCCTGAAGATGAAGGAGGCTCTTCAAGCTGAGAACAGAATGATGGCACATTAGGGCTGAGGTAACAAAGGCCTACCAACTGGGCGGCTTGACAGGAGTGTATGCTTTCACAGTGATGGAAGACAGATGTGCAACATCAAGGGCCATGCCCCCTCTGAAGGCTCTAGGGAAGAGTCCTTCCTTGCCCCTTACCTTCTGGTGGCCTCAGCGGTCCTTGGTGTTCCCTGACTTAGAGCTGCATCTCTGCAATCTCTTTCTCATCTTCCCATGGCTGACTCCCCCTGTGTCCCTGTGTCTTCTCCTCTTTTAAGGACACCAGTCACCTTGGATGTAGGTCCCACCCAAATACAGTATGATCTAATCCCAACTTAACTAATTACATCTAAGAGACCCTACTTTCAAGTAAGGTTACATTCCGGGGCTCCAAGTGAGCATGCATTTGTGGTAGAGACACCATTAAACCCACTAATGGGTTAGATTCATGAAACCTACGTGAGGAGTGGCCACAGGGTGAAGAAGAATACCCCAGGTAGAGAGACCAATGTTTGCAAAGGTCCTGAGGCTGAGAAGAGCACGTCAAGTTCAAGGAACTGAAGGAACGCTGGTGTGGCCGTGCCCAGTGCACAGACGTTTATGCAGAGGAAAGAGCCTGGTAGCAGCAGGAACCTGAGGCCCGGGCTCTCTGAGTCAGGACATCAGTGCACACTGAGTGAGGATGCAGGCAGTTCTAGGCACCGCTGCCCTGGATGTAACAACAAAAGTCAACCTGGTCTCCAGGTTGCTCAAATCTGACCTTTGGATCAAAACCTTCATTTCACATCAGGGAATCCAAGGTTCTCCGAGTTCAATAGCTTTCCCTGAGATTTCTAGTAGGATGAGAACTTGAGTTAAGTGAATAAAAATAAACCGGGAGGGACATCTGAGGGCCTTTAACCTGCTTCAGCACATCCTGAATCTCCGGGACTGGAAGGGCAGGGGCAGCATTCACCAAACTAATTTGACCACTGAGCCCCTTCTCCCCAAAACAGTCTCACAACAAAATGTTTTAGGAGAGAAACTTCAGGAAACTCTATTCCAGATGGTACCATCTCCCCAAGGACATATCAACTTTTTAGTATATAAGTTTTTGCACAGGTAGATATTGTGAAAATATCCAAGTAACTTCAAATCCCAGAGATAGTAATAGTTGGCTCACTGACATGCAGGGGATTTTGTGATGCAGGGAACTGTCTGTTAATCAAGAGCTACCCCCAGGAGCCACATAACTTCTGGAAGTGCCACAGGCCTTTGGGGACCCACCCAGGCTGGATGGGGCGTGAATCTCCAGGCAGGAGGAAGGATGCAGCTCAGCAGACTTAGCTGCTTCTCCCTGGGCCTCGCGGCTTCACGGGCAGCGCCAGCGATTGCCAAGCTGCCTTCCTCAGCTTTCAGAGGACAGTCTCCAGAACATTCTGCACATCCTTGAGGTGAGACTCAAAATAATGTCAAAATCTCTACTGCAGACTCCAATGCTCAAATCTGACTGAATGTAAAATATTGTACAACATTCATATACCCCATAGCTGGTCCCCCGGAGTCATTAAAACTAATATTAGAGTGAAATTAATTTCATCTAAAACAACATATGACTTCATGTTCTCCTTTAGCACATGCAAACGAACAGCGGGGCCAAGAGAGCAGAGCCTCATCCAGCCTCGTCTGAAAGCTGAGCCACATGCTGCCAATAGAATTGCATGTGACAGAAAGGTTTAAGACAGTCCAACAGCACTAACAACTGCAACAAAGAGCACAGTAAACTCCAAATATCTTTTTGGCCTCTCGATTTATTTCTGCCCTCTACCTCAACAAAGGGTATCTTTGCCCATTGCTTTTCTTCTCTCCTTAGGGCCAAGTCCTTTCCCCAATACTGCCCTGGAGCCGCTAATGACATCCAAGTCATCTGCACAACCCACCACCTGAAAAACACTAACTCTCACATTGCAACCTGGGATTTCTCTTCCCTATCTGAGAATAAAAGCCCAGAACGATGAGGAAAGAAAGGAAGGAAAATCAAGAGGTAGCAGATGTTGGTTTATCCCTAACTGGGTAAGTTCTACCCAATTCCTTCCTCGATATTGTTTATTCAGCCCCAAATCTTAAGTTTAAATAAATACCTCCCAATATAACTTTGGATCTAAAGTAGCTGGTCTACAATGAAATGCTAGCTTAACATGATTGAGTTGTAATCAAATTTGGAATGTCTTCTAAGACAATCCTCCAATATCAACCACACTTCACCTACTGCTAACCCTTGGTGAGGAAGGCGGGCAAGAGAAAAAACAGAAAGTAACACTGTGCAGGGAACCTACTCTTGACGTGTTACCAGCCAACAGCAGCTTGCAGAGAGCTCTTTGGTTATCCAAACTTGTAGAGAGCTCTTTAGTTAGCCATCCGTTCCCCTCCTCGCAGCTGTACTGGGAACCAGCTTTCACCTTCGTGTGGCCCAGAAATCATGACAAAGACCAGAAAAGCAGTTCCCTTTGTGATCATCGAGCCTCCTACTGGAACAATCTCCTGAGATGACGCTCTGGGATGGGGAGAGTCTGATACTGGGGAAGGAACTGAGCTGCTTATCATCATGCATACATTTAATTGTTGTCTGTTTTTGATTAGCTACTGATCTGTCTATGACAGATAGTTTTCTCCCTATATATATTTAAGAACAGCTACAAATGACTGCCAGTCAGCCATATCATTGAGGACAGAGGGAAGAATTGGCCAGAACATGAAGGATGGATCAGCACTGAAGGCCCCACCCAGGCAGAAACTGGGACACACACAGGATTGTAAAATCATGAACTGACGAGGCTCTCAGGATAGACTCACTGTGCAGGTACGACTCTGCCTCCTGGGAGGTGATGAGCCTGGAGATCCCTTTTAACCTTAACATGGTGGTCATGAGGCATCATGATGTTAACTACCAACAGAAGGGGACACCCAGTGTCCCGGACTTGGTGGATATTGGGATAAAAGGATAGAGACTTGGGAGGACTTGGAGAAGAGGGAGCAATGGAGGGGGATGGCAAAACTCTACATGGCTCTACACTGTGTTTATGCCCATTCCCTCCTCGGTCACTCAGTCCTTTAGACAGAAGCTAGTGACCAGTTTCCCAGAGAGGCAACAGCTCTATTGTTCCTAGGGAGGGAAGGCTGCTAATACCAGTATGATAGGGGATGGTAGATGTGCTGAATTTTGATCCACTGAGTGATATATCCATTTAACAAATACATACTGAATACCTTCAATGCGATATTCTTGGTGCTGGTGACAAGTGATGGACGAAACAAATGGCTCTGTCCTCCTGGGGCAGGTATCCCAGTAAAGGAGACAGGGATTGAAAGCCTGATGCCTCAGGACCGTAGGCCAGAGTTCATATTTTATAGGGTAACAACCACCATGAGAGCAAACAAAAAAAAAGAGGTGGTTGAAGCATTAACACCATTGCCAACTCCCTTTGACCCTGTTGGTATGTCCTGGGTTAGTCAGTTCATCTCTTGGCCTCTGTTTTCTCATTTCACAATGGGCATTGCAGGAGCCCCAGCTCAGAGGATCGTGTGAGGGTTAATGCAAGCAATGCGTGTATGAGCAGCCAGCAGAGAGCTCAACAAACAGTGGCCACCATCACTATCATCAGCAGGAGAGTTACATTCACAGCAATCCCAAAGGCTCTCAGGGATGAAACTGAACTAAACAGAGCTTCACTAGCCCTGAGTAAACAATCCTGCAGAGCCCAAAGGCCCTTTAACAGCAGTTTTGTTGTTGCTGTTGTTTAGAAGAGCTTATCTGAAGTTCCCTGTTCAGTGAGACCCTTTTGTAATGTAGACACTAAAAGGCAATGCCAGTAGTACCTTGAAAACTGCGCATCAGATTATACAAGTCTTTTTCTACAGAGTTATACTATTCAACACAGTAGCTACTAGCCCCATGTGACTATTTCATTCTACACTTAAATTAATTAAAAGTATAAAATTAAAATCTTAGTTCCTCAGTCTCACTAGGCACATTTCAAGTTCTCAGCAGCCACCTGTGGTCAGTGGCTACCACATTAGACACTAGATACAGAGCATCTGGGTGGTCACAGACATTTCTTTCAGACAGCACGACAGAACTGTTGCCACCTGCCCTTACACATAAGGGATACTTGTGGAGGCCTATGTGAAGTTATGCAGAAGTGGACAACATCATCACAGGTATGCTTCTAGGCTAATGCTGACTAAAATTCTCATTCCAGAAAGAATTTCCTTCCACCTCCAGAGATGGGATTGTGCTCCTTTTCTGTGATCCCCCAGCACCCTCTATTTCCCCTACCTTAGCATGAAACACACTGTAACACGACGATCTGTTCATCTCTCTCCCCATGGTGGTCATTGTCCCTTCATTTAGGCGCCCACTCCAGGCAAGGCCACAGTATCCTCACCAATCCCCATAGTTTCACTTGACTGGCCTTACCCACTGTCCAGTGTCCTGGATTTCCCATGTGGGCACATGACCCAGACCAGGCTAATCCTTGGACTTTCACCCAAGCTATTGAGAAAGATGCTGTCTCTTCCCAGGACCATAACTGAAGAATGACCCTGAAAGCCCACGGCCACATTCTCCATTGCGAGGAGATCATCTGCCAGGGAAATAAGGTCAGAACAGAGGAAGGTAGAGGTGAAGAATGAAAGCAAATAGTCAAAATCCAAATGGCATTGCTGACTTCTGGAAGCCGTCTGTGCCTCAAAACTGCACAACCCTTGAATTTTGAGTTACATGAGCCAATAAATGTGCCCCTTGCTGGAGCTAGTCATAACTGGGTTTCTGAATCTTTCAATCAAAATCCCCGATGAATGCATGTCCCAACAAGAGGGGCCTGCACAAGGGCCGAGGCCTTTTCTGTCCAGTTCCCCATTTTATCCTCAGGGCCTCACACAGAGCTCAGAACAAAGCAAGAACTCAAGATATATTTTTGTAAGAATAAAGAAACATCCCTTCTGCTTAAGAACATGCATGCTGATAACTGGCTTATAGTATTATGTCACTCTACACATGGAAAGATGCATCATGGAAAGAAAAACATCCTAGCAAAAAAATGCCCCTGGATCCTTTTTCCAATAATCATGTTATGTGCTCTCTGTTCAGAACTCAGCACTGAGTGACCGCGTGACATTTATCAGGCAATGAAAGCCCTTTGGAGGACTGTGACCTATGTCTACATTAACATAGAAAAGATGCAGAAATTTTACAAAGTCAAAATTCTGCTACAAATGTCATAAAAGAACTCTAAGCATTTCTGAGTCAACTGCTCTGACTGATGAACACCTTGTATGTAATTAATCCCCCCTATTATATAAACTCTCTATTAGAATTCCCTTTTATTGTAGACTGAATGTTTGAGTCAAACCCCCTGCCCCCCCCCCTTCATATGTTGAAGCCCTAACCCTCTATGTGATGGTATTGAGAGGTGGAGCCTTTGGAAGGTAATTAGGTTTAAATGAAGCTATGAGGGTGGGGCCCCATGATGGGATTAGTGGCCTTTTAGGAAGAGTAGGAAACACCAGAGCTTCTTCTCTCTACCATGGGAGGACTCATGGAGAAGGTGGCCATCTGCAAGCCAGAAAGAGGGCTCTCACCAAGAACTGAGTGTGCTGGTACCTTGATCTTGGCCTTCCCAGCCTCCATACCTATAAGGGATAAATGTCTGTATTTCAACCTTTCAGTCTATGATATTTTGCTATGGCAGCCCAAGATTATTCATACACCTTTATTTTCAAATTTCCTCATGACCATAGTTTGAGGGCTTCCTGCTGGTGGAGACAACAGATGACCTCTGGTTTCTTCTTATCTGCTCCACTTCAGCCAAATACCACATGGCAAGATGATGAGATGTCCTTGTGGCTTCCTCAATGGATCAGCCACCCACCATGCTCTCATTTCAGCAACATCTGTGTGAAATTTACTCTCTGTTGAGTGTTTCAAAGCAGACTGCAACTTGGTGATACTGGAACTTTAACAGACCGCTGTTTATTATAGCGTTATCTTTAATAAGATACTTATTGTTTAAATTCCTGTGAGCTCCAGGAGGAACATGCATTCCCTGCTGAACACAGCTCTTGGGAAATAGTGAATAATCTGGCAAAGCAGACATTGGCAAGCAAGTCTCAGGGGACAGATGCTGTGTGCAAGGCAAGCAGCTCCTCGGGCGGAGGCTGGCAGTCTCTGTGCCTCGGAGCGGGAAGACATCAGGTGCCTAGCCTTACTTAATGAAAACATAAAAGACTCCACTTAATTGCTCCAAGATTATGCAGGATGTTTTTTCCCCCCTTCTTTTAGGTTGAGCTTGTTAATTTGTACAGCTGTGTTGCTGGCACAATTGCAGCCTCGAGTCCTGTTTTCACAACTTGTAAGCAAAATTAAAACTTCCCTTTTTAATTAAAATTCAAACCAAGCCAGAGTTAAATTCCTATTGCAAAGTAGAGGCCTGGGAAGGCTCCCAAATGAACACCTGCTTCACGGCAAGATGGCCAGACTCTGACAAATGCACTCATTGGAAGGTGCTGCTGGTGGCCCCTAAGGATAGGTTCCCGACATCCTTGGTGCATTGGCCATTTCGGCCCCTTCTTCCAAGGGCAGTTGGCTCCAGAGGGGGAAAACTCAAATTCAAATTTTCCATTTCCTACACCTTTCAGTCAGAACTTAACTCCTCCAATGATGACTTGTTCATTTCCCCGATTATAACAATAGTACCAATAATAATAATAATAATAATAATAAAGGCAAACTCTTGTGAGGAAGTTTAAATACTGTATGTCTCACACCACCATTCCCCACTTTGGGCAACTCTATGAATGACTGTATTGAGAAAGATGCCTGGTGCGTGTGCACAAGGGGGTGCAGATGCCACATGGCCAATCCTATCCTGCACCTGCTGATAGATTTAATAGCTTTTTAATTGGCACAAAGTTGACATGCAATATTATATTAGTTTCAGGTGTACAACCCAGTGATTCAACATTTAAATACCTTACAAATGATCACCGTGGTAAGTAATAAACAAATGTCACCAAGTAGTTACTACACCACTACTGACTGTATTCCCTATGCTGTCCATTACATCCCCATGACTTACTTATTTTATAACTGGAATTCTGTTCCTCTTAATCCACTTCACTTATTTTTCCCATGCCCCCACCTCCCTCCCCTCCGACAACCATCAGTTTGTTCTCTGTATCAATGAGTCAGTTTCTATTCTGTTTTGTCTGTTCCTCTGTTTTGCTTTTTAGAACATTTCATTTTCTCCGAAAGGAAGGGGGACCAGTTTTAACCACGAACCCTAAAGGAACATATCACATGTCCCTTTGTTTGAATCATAACTCTCCATGCAGGATACTCACCTGGATACTGCCGGAAAAAGCCCTTTGCACTTCCAAAGTACTGCCATATGAGAGACGGGTCACGGTCAAAGTTATCCACAAAAACTTTGTTTAGGGATTCAGACCAATAAACACCATTGACAATTGCTGGGTCTGGGGGAAAAAAAGAAAGAAAGAGAGAGAAGATGTTACAAACCAAAGTGAGAGAACCTGGCTGGCATTGCATAGCTGGCGGTGACCAGCAGGAGGCCACCTTGCAGAAAGCCACAAAGACAGTGACAGCCCCTGGAAACTCCATACATCAGGGTGTCCCCATCCTGCCCTGCGCGAGTCCTCCAGCAAGTGGGAGCCCTCCCAATGGCTCCTTCCCTGAAAGGCACATCCCTTTATTCTCATGTGGCCCACAGTTCTCAAGGGAGCAAAGAGAGACCTTCTTAGCATTTTTTTACACTTTCCCCCACCCTGAGCCTGAACTCAGCTTAACAATAGGAAAAACATGTGTGTGTTTTTTTCTCACTGCAGTTACCTCAGCCAACACAGTCTCGTTCAAATTCTCTCCACCTCAGCCCTAGAAGTTTGCTTTTTTTTTTTTAAAAAAAAAAAAGGTAAGTAAATTGGAATTGTGCAAGTAAATCTCTCCACTTCTTTTGTTCAGCGGTGGGAGCGCAGGACGGAAGGTACCACCTTGCTGCGCTCTTCTGCTGGACTCCTTTGAGCAGCCCGTGGCAGAAACTCCAAAAACGTATGCATTGGTGAAGAGAGGGCTGGTTGGCTGGGTGGGTGATTAAAACGAAGATTACAGACAGCTGTCTACTCTCTGACCCGCTATCCCAGGAGCAAATCCCTCTTCCTCACCCTGGGTCACCCAAAGATAACCCCTTGTCCCACACATAAGAATGAAGGGCAAGGGCACTGAAGGAGAATGGACAAGATTTCTGGCATACTGGTGGAAGCAGGGTGGAGCAGCGAGGATGTCATGACTGTCCACTTTTTGTTTTTTTAATCTCCGAAACTCCTGTTTCAAAATGATACCACATTAAGCAACATTCCGTTCTAACTGGGGAAATAATTGTCCAGTCCCAGTCTGATGAGAGTAAGACTAACAACAGGATGAGCATATTAATAAATAGGGAGAGGAGGAGGAGAAACCTTTCAGTGCTTCCTGTGGGACAGGCACTGTGCTATTTTATCTCCTACCACCCTACCTCAGCCCTCCAAGACAGGCTGCCTCGCTACCCTGCAGGCTACACGAGTGAAAACTGAGTGAAGAAGGTTAGGTTCCTCCTATCGGCACCCCACTAGGAAGTGACAAAACCTCTGACCAGTGTTTTCCTTATTTGTAAAATGGGGGTAATAGTGCCCACCATCAAAGGCTGCTTGGAAGGTTAAAATAATTGACAGAAAAGGCCAAGGGTATTCCTAAAGCCATCTATGGAGGTATTTCACTGGCCTGAAGTCCCACACCCTCCCCAGAGCTCCCTGTGGGACTCCAAGCCACAGCAATCCCACCGTGGTGTCCTTATTCTAAATACTCATCATCACGCACAGCTGAGGGGATGAGGAGAGATTGGGTCACTCCCGTCCTCAATCTCACGGTAAGACAATGAGATAAATCATGTCAGAAACGTTCATATGAATTAGGTACACTGACTTGCTCACTATAGTGCACCCTATCCCCCGCACCCTCCTCCACACAATCTGCCCTCTGCCAGCTGGCTGCCCCCAAAATGTTCACCTGGAGAGGTCCCAGCAGAGCCCACAGTGGCTCCTGACCCAGTGGGCATTCATGGTGTCTTGTCTTATTGTCTTACCTCTGGCTGCCTTATTTTTTCAGATCACTTATTAGGACTCAATAGGCAATTGGGATTCTGACTCTCATTCTAACTCTTGTGAACAATAATAACCACATCACAGGCTAGGAGAGTGAAAATGACCAATTCAACCTTTTGCCGCAAGTAATTTTAAGAAAGACTTGATCTTTACAATCCTGGAAAATGGAGCCCTTTATTGTTCCTGTCCAAGCTTGACAAAAATTATTCTGACTCACTCTCTGCTACAAAAGCCCCTTAAATTAATCCTCAAAGATGCAAAGACAATAATGACACTGAAAAAAATCTATGGTTCTTGCCTCCTCCGTCAATGGCCTCAATTATGTCAGTGTCATATGAAAACCTTTCACAATTAGAAGCAAAAATTCCAATTCACCGGATAACTGTCTCAACATGTTAAGGAGTCAAACAGTTTCCAGTTAGAGGATTCTTTTTTCTCGGTAGTGGTTTCTTTGGAGGCGGTAAGAGTCAGTCCTTGCCTCCAGGCGGTCCTGGAAACCTAAGATTACCACCTGGGGAAGGGTGAATACATTCAGAAATGGCGGTGGTCTAAGGATCGCTTTGCCCACTTCATTTGGACCTCAGATCTTGCTATGAAATTATGCCTCCTCAAGAAAAGGGGGCCTCAATTTTCCTAGGGCGTGGTGAGCAAGAGAATCAGAACCACTAAAAGATATGATCTAGTTAAAATGGAGACTGGTGCACACACCTATTTCATCAAATATCTCAAATAATCACAGTGTATTGATTTCACAAGCTTCCTTAGCAAGCAAATTAATAGAAGAAAAAAATCTTGAATTACTGTCCATTGTTACCATCACCTAAGAGATAGAAGAGAAAAACAGGAAAATGATGTCATTATTAAGTGGGGCATTCATCTAAGTATTTGGGATTTAAAAAGACTTCAGTTAAAAATGGTTTCCCCAGCTCATTGCCAGAAAGCAGAAGTGAAGGAGCCCAAAGGGTCATGCACCCCATGTACCCAGGACCCCAGCCTTTCCAGCATTGACTGAGGAGGAGGTAGACATTACCGGGGTGTGGACAACTCCCCAGCCTGATGTTCCCTCCGTGCTTGCTGAGCAGATTTGCTTTCTTAAGGTCACTTGTAAAAATGACAGCATCCTCCTTAGTGGTAGGTTTACTGTGTTTTGTTTCAAAATTTGTTTAAAAGCCCCCTTTGCTTCATTTAGGATTTTCCAAGAGTCCTAAATTAATTTGAGCGTTAGCTTTCACCTCCACCCTTAATCGTCTTAGGGGTTTAATGTACTGTATTAGCTTCCTGTGGCTGCTATAACAAAACACCACAGACTAAGTGGTTCAAAACAGAAATTTATTTCAGAGGCCAGAATGCCAAAATCACGGTTGGCAGGATTGGATCCTCCTGGGGCCCTGAGGAAGAGTGTGCCCCATGCCTCTCTCCTAGTTCCTGGTGGCCCCCAGCAACCCTTGTTGCTTCCTGCCTTGTAGATGCATCACTCCAACTCCTGCCTCCATCTCTATATGGACTGTCCCCTCTATATGCCTTTGTCCAATCACCTCTCCTTTTCTTTGAAGAAACCAGCCATTGGATTCAGGGTCCACCCTCAATTCAAGATGATCTCATCTAAAAATTTTTAACTTAATTACATCTGCAAAGATCCTATTTCCAAAATAGCTCACATCTGTAGGACATACAGGAGGCCGATGCTCAACCCAGTACAGGTACTCTCTTACTTATCCTACAATACACCCATATTCCATAGTTTGTGTGTATTCCTTTTTAAACCTAGATTAATAAATGCAGGCTTTTTACCCTACAAAGGACGTTTAAAGGCCTTCTTCCTTTTCTTCTTTATGGGGACAATTCAGATTTTTATGTCTGTATTATAATTTTATGAGCTTCCTGACTTATGTCAATGGGTCCAACCTATAATGTACAAAATTGGGTTAAAATATTTTCCTTAATGTCTAGTGTATGTGTCAATGCTCAGCCTACTGTGCTCAGTATAGCGAATGCCACATAACACAGTCATTTTATCCAATGTTCCTCCCCATTCCACATCAACTTATTATTCATGTTGGTCCATACGAAGTCCAGGAATAGCGGTTCTGCTATCTCCTGAGAGATTAAATCCCTTCCGATGCCAGTCAAAATTTATCAGATGTTCAGCTTTTAGTAAAATAGATAACTAGCAGATGTTTATAGAGTGAGAGTCCCACACCACCTCTGTGATCAATTTGCAATTGGTATCTGAAAAGCATCTCACACATCTCGGATCTGTCTTTGTAATGTATCATATAACCCAGCAAAAATCACCTTTGCAGCCCTAGCTTGTTTGGCTTAGTGGATGGAGCGTTGGCCTGCGGACTGAAGGGTCCCAAGTTAGATTCTGGTCAAGGGCACATGCCTGGGTTACGGGCTCGATCCCCAGTGGAGGTTCTGCAGGAGGCAGCCAATCGATGATTCTCTCTCATCATTGATGTTCCTATTTCTCTCTCCCTCTCCCTTCCTCTCTGAAATCAATAAAAAATATACTTTTAAGAAATCACCTTTGCAGTTTCCTTCTTTTATTTCCCCCCAAATAACTGCTCTCCCCCATGGTTGGCGCTTGGAACAGGGGGGTCACCTGGTGTTACACATGGCTAAGGTTCTCTCCACACACCCCCTCCTACACGCAGTCACACAACTTTCCATTTCAGTTCTTCATCTTTGAAGGAATAGCCCCTCTGGTCATCATCTTTCAGTCACCAGTCCCATCTCCTGAGTCCTGCCGGAGATGACCAGCCCTTTGGGTTCAAGCAAATCAATGAATGTAAGCACTTAGCACAGCCACTAGCACATACAAAACGCTCCCCAAAGGGGGCTGTTATTTACTCTGTGCATTAGTAAATGAATAAATAAGAACTCCCAACGTTTGTCCCTGTTCGCTACAGAGGGTGTCCCCAGGCAGCACCCTCCCAACAGTGGGTGTCCCTGTTCCCTACAGCAGGTATCCCTGGGAGCACCCTCCCTACAGTGGTGATCCTGGGCAGCAGCCTCACAGAGCTGCGAACCAGTCTGGGACTCAGGCTTTGGAGCTGGAGTCTAGGGTTTGAGTCCTCGCTGGACACTTGTTAGCTAACAGCTCTGCACTGTGACAACTTCCCTGAGCTGCCGACCTCATCTGTAGAAGGAGATAGAACTGGCCCTCCCTCAAAGGCTGCTGAGAAAAGGCATGTAAGGTGGGAGGCCTCCTAACCCTCAGAGGGTACCTCACTGGTCTCATGCCATTCTATGATGAGCCCCAACCCCGGGGCAGCTCAGCGGTTCTAAGACTATCCAGGTGGGGTTCTTCCTAATCTCAT